ATTGTCAACATTAAATAATCACCCATTAATTCTGACAGGTTGTTACGCTTCTAGGTATCAATAATCAAAACCTTGCTTCTAAAATGCATTTTATCTTTGGTACAATATGAAATATGTGCCAAAAACAACTCGTGAAAAAAAAGGAGTACTACATGTAAAATTAGCTTACATACATGCCAAGTTTTCGCTATATAACCTTCTATACTCCCGTTCGAATTCACGTTCAATTCTAGCAAAATGTTTATGAAGTCTTTGCCTAAATTCTCGAGGTAAAACAGATTCAACTGGACCAGTATATTCACCCATTAGATGCCATGTTAAATAGCTGTCCTCTTCACCAACTCCACTTGCGATGATAGAATTCGGGATAACATTTGTTATACATGTGGAAACAGGAGCATTTAATGTGTCCGTTGTGATTGTTTCTCCATCTGATGGATTTGTACGCACAGCTGCAAACATTGTGTGGCTAAACCCTTTTTTGTAGTAACAACACTATTAGGATCTGTAAGAAGTCATTGGTTAAGCGAAAAACTGAAAAACTGAAAATAGCGAAAATAAAACAACTGGATAAAAACTATTTATTTGTTAAATACAGGCAAACTCTGAACATATTGATCAAGTTTTTCGGAAAAGATTTGGCTTTTAATGGGTATTTCGGATTTAATTAGTGGATTCTGTGAAACGTATTTTGTATATATTTGAAATATCCCTTCCAGTTCCTCATTCATAGGTGCACACGAGTTGTCAGTGGTAAGAACAATTCTCATCAATGTAGGAGTTTCGTAAAAATGAAGACGATATGTGTTAGTAACGTAAGAAAAACGATTAATTTCATTATCCAACGGTGAAATCTTTTGACAAAATCCTTTTAAACCGATTAACATACCACGCATCAACTTTAGGTCGTTGTCAGATGGACAATCACCTTGCTTCGTTTTAGTCCATTCACGGTAATACAGGTGATCGCCATTTTTTCCATATATGTATAAGTTATACACCGTCATCTAAAACGGTAACAATGTTAAAATAAGCATTTGAGACTCAACATTTTCAGCTGTGAACACATGGTAATACCGTGATTCTTGAATAAACGCCAGTCATTATAACGGCCAACAAAAGCATTTTGACCGACAAATACGGATTCCAAGAGTGATGACAGACTGAGTAATCAGTCTTTCATGGACAATGTAGGGCCACACAAATAAATCGCAACACAGTAGCAAGATTTATGACAAAAGGAGTCAAAGAAACACTAGTGCTTACACTGTTAAAACACTAAATAAGGGGGATAATTAGAAAAGGAAAGAGCTTGCGGAACAAGAAGTATGAAATCATATCCGGAATAAAAATCTATGAGGAATGAAGAATAGGTGTCTACAACACAGAGTTTGCTCCTAACCTTCCCATATAATGGACAGAACTGTACGTTAGGTTGGATGACGGTTGGGCTTGTGTAGCACATCCCAACTACTTCAATCGAAGACAGTTCGCAGTTTTGTCAACCCGTTTACCAACCTATCCTAATAACTTATTTGGTGTGTTGAAGGCAAGCCCTCAGCTACGGTAGTTAGGAATGTTAAGAATAACTTAAAGTTAAGAAGGCAGCTTTCATAAATCGTGACGGATATCAACTGACCGTCGAGTTAGAATGACCAAGGTCTTGATAAATGGGAGCCACATACGATCCCCTCTAGTCCCATAGTTGATCGCTATCATCGACATATAAACAAGGTTCTTCATCATAACCAATTCGGTGAGTGTGATGTTTAGGGCCATATTATTAGTAATGCAGTAGGAACTAGGTCCTAACACTAGTGAGAAACAATCAGAAACTCAAAATGTTGGGGAGCGTCCAATTAAGCGGGAATTTCGAGGAAATCACTTGTTTTTTGTAGAGATTTTAGGGAAATGAAACTAAAAGCACACTCCCTTAATGGACTATGAAATTTTACTTGAAAAACAGCATTTTTTGTTTCAACACACATGAAAACTACTAAGCATTTAGCACTCATAAAATGTCCAAATTACCTACTATTCAAACCCGACGCAACGGTTTTGACATCTGTGGACACAAACAGGAAAGGGCAATCGTGACTTGCGTGTAAGGGTGGCTGGATACACGCCTAATGTGCACAAAAAGAGCTGGATTGAATTTGGTTTAAAAATCAATCGTGTGCTCTTATGGGTATGAGGGCGGGTGTTACTTCCCGGCTGCCCACACAGTGGAATGGCTCTGGTTGTCAGAAGGGGCATCGGCTTCGTGACTTACGAAGGAGACGTTATAATTCTTCGAAATGACGACCTAACTCCCAGAGCAAAGTTTAAATGGTTTGAATTATTTCTTCTTACTAGCGCTTTTTAAGATAGTTAGTTTTTTGCGGAATGGGGTCGCCAATCCGATGCCCAAACCTCCTCCCTTATCCGGGCTTGGGACTGGCAGTAGCCCCGGAAGGTATACAGGCGGAGTTTTGGTATCAAAAAGTACATAAGCAAAAGTCTTTCACTGTAGTTAGGCAACTAGTCGAGGTAGGGCGTACAGATAATATTGTCAGTTTGCGTAGCTTTGTAAGATTAATATACTTAACTTCTATAAGTTAGTTTTACTTGAAGTTGTTCGGAATGAATTCAACTAATATATCAGGTAATTCTGACAAGTTCTTTTTGTACATAATCTAGATTCATTAAAAGAACTTATACCTTGTCTTTTTAAAGGGCTTACACAATACTGAGTTACGAACACATAAATATTGCCAACAAAAAGCTTGTTACATAAAAATGTTTGGATTGTGCGATCTGAATAACTTGATAATGATACTTGCTAAATTTATTGTCACTAAGTCGTCTATGTTTGGATATTTTGTCTGATTATATATGCCGTCTATCGAAGTAGCATTACAGAGGTTGAACTAAGAAACGAAGTACGATTACTTTAGTTCCTTACAAAAAACATTATTTCGGTAAACCGTGGCACATTGTATTAGTAATTTCAGAATTTCCAAGTACAACAGATTCACGTACTGTATTTTTGCTCGTCAGAATATCGTGAGAAACTCATGAGTTGTAAAAGACAAACCAATTAATGTTGCTATATTAGTACTGTCTATAGAAATAAAGCCTGAACTTTTAAATGCTGTACTTCACCGTAATATATATATATATGTATATATATATATATAATACTAATTCCAACTCATCCCATTCCAATTTTCCGATTATTTTGATGTCAAATAAAGAAAGTGTTCTGGAAAATACTGTTGTCACCTAACCAATAAAACGTGTCAGTTACAACAATAGATGTACTATAACAATATACCTACTGTTATCAGTATCCTTAATAATACCTTTTAGTTCGAAGCAACTAAATACGACAGATGCCAAGGATGGTGCAAACTGCCGGCTACCTATTACTCAAAACATTTTTAATGAATTGGAAATGACTAATACAAGACCCAATAATATAAACCTGGCAAGTAGCTCACACATTCAAAAGCTAGCAGCGTACTTGTCTTCCAATATCCAATATCCCAATTCTTTTCACGAGCCACTATAAACCAAGTGATTTCTTGGCAATCAATTCTTGTTGTTTCAGTACGATCACAGATAGTTATTACAGTCCGATGGACGGTATTCCAGCCACTTGACTGCTTTAATTCTAGTCTGCTAGAAGTTATTTCTGAATATGTATGTCCCATGATTTGAATGAGTGCTTTTGTTTCAGTGCAGTAGGGTTTCCTGGATGCCAGCAGCTATGATGTTACAGGGCTGGAGACTCTCCACGTACTATTCAACCAGTTGTTAGACTTCAGTGGCAAGGATTATATATCAGCTGGTCTTTGTTAATCCTTGGAACGCATTTTTACTTACAAACCCTCTCCTCGTAAGTGAGTTTAACATAATCTGTTTGGGTACGGTTCTACCTCCTTTTACCACTCGCTGAAAAAACAAGTCTCATTCCCAGTTTATTCAATCGAGATAATTGAACAGTTTCAAGATGGCTTCTGAAACGGTCAGAGTTGAAGGGGAAAAAACAACCCTTATCAATATCAGAATACTTGTTTAAGAAATGAGATTATCACCTAATTTTCTTCATCACAATCCCCGTTAATGCTCGGAGATCATTTGTTCGATGTGTAACTTCAGCAGACTCTAAACACCTAACATTAGGACAGGAAATCCTCCTTTGGAACAATTTAAAAGTTTCCGTCGTTACAGAATGTTTAACATCTCCAGATTTCGTAGAAGTTGTGCATATTTTCTTCTCCAGTTAACCAAATGTTGAAATAGCAACGGAATCAATTGCAGTTTTCAAAGTCCTAACGAAGTATTCTAGTATCAGTACACAGAAGCTTGCAACGTTTAGCATTCGGCCAGGTAGTAACTGCATTTGCTGTAAGATGAAAGGCGTCATCACTCACTAATATTACAGACATCCACCCCTCTTGAATACTTCCACTCAGTGCTTTGATCGTGAAGTCGTAAATCATTGAAGTTGTAAAAAATAACCTAGTTCACTTACGGAAAGTATCAATAACAACAAATGCATAGTGTTCTCTGAGAAATGGATGATAGTTATCTGCATGGACCACCAGTAATATTCTAGAATAAGTGTATCTCTTGAAAACTATGATCTATATCGAAATGGTAGGTTACAAAGATGTAGTGGAGGATGATTCTAGCCTATTCTAGCCTAAACCCACCCTCATGTGATATGCCGGAACAGTTTCCTTACTGCTCGTCTAGGTTTACCGTCAGCCTACCACACCAACAGAGGACCTAGCAATAATTTCAGGAGTATTCACGTTTGCCTCATCCATACCGTTTACAGGCAAGGCTATTTGTGGGGAATCCAATATGCCTGAAATATCTTGGTTCCCAATCACAGCGCCTAAACGATTTAAATCATACCTATATGCGGATGACATCAAAATAGTCTTCAGCTATAAGCCTGAAGATCTGAAAGAAAATATAGCGAGGGTTCAGAGTGACTTCGAAACCTTATCTTCCTGGAGCGAAACATGGCAGCTACCTTTTGACCGCAACAAATTTGGCATCGTGCATATTAGTAAGCATCACCATGATAAACGATTCTGATTGTAAAAATGTAGACATTCATATCAGCGCATTATCTGGGAATTCATTACTCCAGAAGCCTAAAATATGTAGAATATGCCTCTAAATCTAGATAGCTTGTAGGGTTCATAAATAAGAACTTCTTGACAAATGAGGCTAAGCTTAAATTCATCAAAATGTGTATTAAGGCACTCACTTGAATACTGCTCACCTGTCTTCACAAACATGAATATCACAGACAAGTTACGAGTATAAAACGTCCGAAGAAGCTTAATCCGATGACTCCTCGGATGAAACCATAATCTCAACTATACAGAAAGACGCCAATATCTTTCCCTAGAACCTCTATGGCGTCGTCGGTTGAAAAACAACCTAATTTTTGTCTATAAAATAATATATGGCCACTCTTTTGTAAAATACCGCCCAATTATGAAGAAGATTTGGGATGAGGAACAAGTACCATCAGATTGGAAAGAAGGATACCTCATCAAAATACCAAAGAAAGGCGACCTGAGCAAGTGTGAGAACTACAGAGGCATCACTCTTCTTTCAATACCAGGCAAAGTCTTCAACAGGGTATTGTTAAACAGAATGAAGGACTTCGTAGACGCCCAACTTCGAGATCAACAGGCCGGATTTCGTAAGGATCGATCATGTACTGACCAAATTGCTACATTACGGATCATTGTGGAACAATCAATTGAGTGGAACTCCCCACTCTACATCAACTTCATCGACTACGAGAAAGCATTCGATAGCGTGGATAGGAAAACACTATGGAGGCTTCTTCGACACTACGGAATTCTTATGATGGATTTAACTGCAACATCGTGCACGGAGGACAGCTAACAGACTCTTTCGATGTGAAGACCGGTGTCAGGCAAGGTTGCTTACTCTCACCCATTCTCTTTCTCCTGGTCATCGACTGGATTATGAAGACGTCAGCATCTGGAGGGAAGCACGGTATCAACTGGACAGTTAGGACGCAGCTGGACGATCTGGACTTCGCAGATGACCTGGCTCTTCTATCGCACACTCAACAACAAATGCAAGAGAAGACGACCAGTGTAGCAGCAGCCTCTGCAGCAGTAGGTCTCAACATACATAAAGGAAAAAGCGAAATTCTCCGATTCAACACAACATGCACCAACCGAATCACGCTTGATGGAGATACCTTGGAGGACGTTAACACCTTCACATATCTTGGCAGCATCATCGACGAGAAAGGTGGATCGGATGCAGATGTGAGGGCGCGGATTGGCAAAGCGAGGGTTGCATTTCTACAGTTGAAAAATATCTGGAACTCCAAACAACTTTCAAACAAAACCAAAATAAGGATTTTCAATACAAATGTGAAGACAGTTCTACTGTATGGAGCGGAAACATGGAGAACTACCAAAGCCATCATTCAGAAGATACAAGTGTTTATTAACAGCTGTCTGCGCAAAATACTTCGTATTCGTTGGCCAGACACCATCAGCAACAACGAACTGTGGCAGAGAACAAGTCAGATTCCAGTGGAGGAGGAAATCAGGAAGAAGTGCTGGAAGTGGATAGGACATATACTACGAAAAGCACCCAAATGCGTCACGAGACAAGCCCTCACATGGAACCCTCAAGGCAAAAGGAAAAGAGGAAGGCCAAGGAACACACTACGCCGAGAAATAGAGAAAGATATGAGAGGAATGAACAAACATTGGACAGAATTGGAGAGGGAAGCCCAGGACAGAGTTGGTTGGAGAAAACTGGTGGGCGGCCTATGCTCCATTTGGGGTAACAGGCGTAAGTAAGTAAGTAAGCCCAATTATGAAACTAATAATACTATTGTTAGACTTGTAGAATCCTTTTTGAATGTTTTGCTTTTTGGAAAATCCCTCCATGTTTACATATTTTTGCTATGACATGACGGACTTTTTCTGTTGACATTTTTGGTACTTTATTTGATTCCAGTTTGAGATTTTATCATTGTATATTGTTATTCTTTCTATATTTTGTACTTATATTGAAGTTTTTGTGTTTGCTTCTGAACTGTACATATGTTGTTTAAATTTGATATAATATGGCTACCGCCACATTTTTGGACGGACGCAGTGGCCGCTGGACTTAGCGTCACTTAATTGTTATTGTGTCTGATACTCTGCGGAGTAACCTTACCCTGGACGAAGCACTATTTCCGTAATGCTTTGTATTTCCATTTTTTAACTAATACAGAGACGTTTTCTCCTAGAATTTTGTCCTTTTTGAATTGGTTGGGACCCGGAACTGGGGAAAGCGTACAGGAGTGCCTCTATTGGAACCAATTGGGACGGCCACTGTAGAAATACAATTTACAGTCTGGATATAATTCTATTACGATTACAGTTGGATTATTAAGAATTATAAAGAAACATTTGGAATTTTAATCGTTTATCCCACTGGACCTTCTTGGAGGAAGAAGTTGGATTATTTATCATATTCCGAAGCTGAACTGTGGAATTACTATATTTTGTATTTGTTACCTTTCCTTTTGAACTTCATTTATGATGTCAAACAGAAAATAATCACACATGAGGAGGGTGGAAGAGCTCGACGGATCACAGGGCTCTAGGCAAGTCGTTAATGATGCACTTTTTATGGGTAACCCACATGTTATGTCTGATATTTATTATTGTAAGTCACCGTTGACAGGCATTAAGGAACAAGAATTAAGTGAGAGTTCTAAAGTACCAGAGACCGATCAGATACGAAAGACATCGATAGAGGGTTTAGAACTACCTAAGGTTGAACTCTCATTTTTTGATGGAAGGTCTCGCGACTATTTTAGGTTCATGCGACAATTCGAGACGTTTATAGAACCCCGAATAAGAGACGATCAAGTGCGTTTATTGTATTTAATTCATTATTGTAAGGGAAAAGCAAAAAATGCGATTGAAGGCTGTACTATTATGGATCCACAAGCAGGATATAAGAGAGCTAAGGCCATTTTAAAACAGCTCTTTGGACAGTCGCATGTAATAGCCCGAGAAACCTTAGAGGATTTATTTAGAACTGGGAATGTAGATTTCAATGATCCTGAATTATTGACGAATTTGGCTATTAAAATGCAGAATGCTGCTTTAACTTTAGAACAGCTAAATTGCACAACGGAACTTAATTCCATGGTTACTTTAGAACGAATAGTGAGGCTCTTACCTCGTCGAATGCAAGCCCAGTGGGCAGAGCTAGTAATCAAGTGGGACGAAGAGGAGAGAGAGCCTAATTTTAACGAATTGACGGAATTTATTGTGTCTCGTGCTAAGATAGCTAGTAGTAGGTTTGGAAGATTAGCTTATCGGGCTAAAACAGGAAATAATACGGAAGCTACTAGTGGTCTGCGTGCGAGACATGAGGATTTTTCGTTTCTACCTAAAGCACGCTCGGAAGATAAAAGATTTGTCAATTATATCACGAAAGCATACGCTGATGAAGGACGAGTATGTGACCGTAACGATGTAAAACCTCTTGATGCGTGTCCTAGCAAGAAGCCGGTTGGTGTAACAGATAAGATGGCTTTTCTAAGTATAGAAAGGAAAGAAAAGGGTGAAAAGTGTAGGCATCAAGATGGATCCGAAGTGTGAGATGATAAAAGCCTCTTA